CTTAAAAGAGCTCAGGATCTGGGTAACATTCCTTCTACCCATTTCAGCTTCTCCCTAAGAACCAAATACAGCCCTCCTGTAGTTTCACTGCCTCACAGCACTTACACTAACAAGAATTTAGCCCCAAAGCTCTCTGTGGTTACAGTAAAATATCATTCAGTGTTATTCAACTTTTAAAGATCCAAACTGACAACTGTTTAGGGTAGCAACTATGCAAGGACAGGGCCTTTAATTACAGCCATTTACTTCAATGTCCTATTTCCTGCTTCAAATTGTTTCATAGCAAACAAACGGCAGAATCCTATTTCACTTTATGCATCCAAATGGTAGTTTACAATCGCACAAGTACCCTATCTCTCTGACTTTCCAGCATAGTGCTCCAACAGTCTAGAGGGCAGGAGAGCAATGATGAATTTTTTGTCCTACTGGGAAAAAGAATCCAAGCTAGATCCCAGGGCTCCCCTCCCTTCCAGAGCATCAGCATTTTAACTGAGCCTCACACCTACTAGCTTGTTCTTTTTCTTCTGGACCCTATGTACATCCAGCTCTTGGCTGCCCAAGCCTTAGAAAAGGGACTGGATAATGTCTAACCTGTGGTGTGGCAATTAGATCACCAGGAAGGTAGAGAGATGCAAATTCAAACCTACTCTGGGGAAGGAGCACTAGAAATTCAGGATCTCTTGCTCCCTGAATAAATGCCCTAACTGCTAGACTACTGGATGAACACATGCATGGGACCCCCTCCTCCTCTTCTTCCTCTCCATCTCTGTTATGGAATTTTTTGGCAAGTACACTTTCATGACTTAGAACACTTATGTGACTACACTGCACGTGGAATAAGATCACAAATTGCATGTAAATGCCAAAAATGGCAGTGAAGCAGCTGGAAAACTGACATTTGGGAATGTAAAGTAAAACAGGATTCTGCCCAAAGTATTCACTTTTTGTTTCCTCCTTTATTTGTGCTGCCATTGGAACATGTGAATTGTAACAAATTGCTATGAACACTATTCACAAAATAGTGTAAGGGTCAACAGTTATAAAGCTGCCACAGAGGCGGCTGGATTTTATTGTGTCAGTTCTGTTTTTAGAAAGCCTTTTGTGTTCTCACAAAAAATACAATATATTTCTAACCAGGAAGTCATCCTGCATGAGCTTATTATTTCACAGGAGGACAAAATTTGAGCCTAAAACAGCTTGACAATGTCATTTCAGCTTGTTCAGAAAATTAACCATTGTCACACATCAAATGAACAGCTTCCTTGGTTTCTTGCCTGCTCCAACATATGACCCAACACATTCCCCTCTAGTGCACAGCCAGAATCAGAGAATAAGCCACTGTAACATTTTGTTTCTTTCTAACAGCAGGTTCATATTTAGTTTTTTGTCTAAAAGATTATCCTCACAAAAAACAGCCTACAGTGACAGGACTGATTGAAGGCATGGGTAAAATAATATATTAGAAATATACAAACCAGCAAGTGTGGATTGCTTGCAGAATAAATACCTCCATTATGGATCTTTTCATATGTAGGTCACTGGTTCAAATTCAGTTTAAGATGGTGATGAGTGAAAAGGAAGAGTGATTTTGTGTTAGGAACTCTGGCTGTCAGTCATGAGATCTGGGACCCATTCCTGGCTCTGCCACGGGAAGTGGGTGATCTTGGGCTACTCACCAGATTCCACATTAGTGTTATTTCTAGTTGCCAAGATGAAATAAGAGGTGGTTGGGAGAGGAAGGGTGGGAGGGAAGGTGGCTCTCAGTCCAATTCTTCATTAATCAGTATCCATAGTGTAAAATCTGTCATCACAGTTGAACCTCTCAATGTTAACAGCAAAGAGGCACCGAGCTGAATCAACCTAAACTCTAGGGCAGTGCGAAATTTCACCAAATGTTTCGTTTCAAAGCTGTTTTGATGCGTTTTGAGCTCAAAACAGCAAAATCAAAATGAAACAAAAAGCTTTGAAATGAAATGAGGGCATTTAAAACTTTTCAGAAGTTTCAAAACGTTTTGAGTTTCGAAGCAGTCCCGTGGCTGGAGGCAGAGGAGAGCCAGGGCTGCGCTCTGTGTGGCTCTGCAGTCCCATGGAGCTCAGCCCAGCAATGGGAGGTGGAGTACAGCCCTGGCTGAGGTCCATGGGGCTGGCAGAGCTGGTCAGAGCACAGCCCTGGCTCTGCCCACCTCCTGCCGCCGGGCTGTGTTCCATGGGGATGCAAGCCCCACAGACCTCAGCCTGAAGGCTGGAGGTGGAGTGTAGCTCTTGAAGGCAGGTAGTCAGGGCTGCACTCTGCTTTGTGCTGCCAGGCTGAGCTCCATGGGGCTGCGGAGCCCCATGAAGTGCAGCCCGGCGACAGTAGGCGGGCAGAGCCAAGGCTGCATTCCGCCTCCCACTGCTGGGCTGAGCTCTGTGGGGCTCCGCAGCCCCACTGAGCACAGCTCTGGCTCTCCCCTGCGTCCTGTCACCGGGCCAGATGACAAGAAGAGTCTGGCACAGCCCTGCAGCCCTCCCAGGGGTACGGTCCCCCCCAATCTGCATGCTGGATGGATGACAGGAGGCTGCCACTGCCAGCAAGCGTCACCCATTTTGCTTTTTGCAGTTTGAGGTGAGTTTCTGAGAAACCTCTCCACTTATCTCCTTGAAACTTGGCAGGCTTCATGCCCTCAGAAGGGGCTACCATCCCTGCAATTTTCATCTGAATCAGGCACAAAATAACAGTTTTAGGCATTTCATGTTTCCCCATTATAGCCTATGGGTGAAACATCAAAACACATCGAAACAGCCAAACAGTTTCAATGAAATGAAATGGGACAGTGTTTTGAAACGAAACACTGTCCCTTTGAGATGGCGAAACGGATGTCAAAACAAAATGATGGTGTTACACACAGCCCTACTAAACTCCCTCTCTCACCTACAAATGAGAACTGAGGGATATTAGCGTGGGAATCTGTAAGAGAAGCTCACACAGATATTGCCTGTTTTGTTCTAGTTCTCAGCCTAAATAGAGGCTTTTATTTTCCATAGCTGTCATCTTGGCACATTTCACCATCATGAATTCACTTAATTAAAAAAAGCAGTCACATACACACAGGCAAATAATCCATCCCACCTTCTTCAGGGCACTCAAGAGTAAAGGTTTAAAGCAACAACACTGCAGAGTAGACACTCCTGAATTAACATCCACAACAGCTGTAGGCATAAATGGACTACATAATCACTACAAAAATTTAATCTCATGCTACCTCGCAGTGCCTGGTTTTAGAATTCTATCATTTTGGCCTGCCTGGATCATTAATGAGAGTGTTGAAGTGATACTGTAGCTGATGATGATGTTTGCCTGCATCCTTAATGAGGTTTTGGCCAATTTCAATACATTATCTAAGTAAAGAGGCATATTTCAGCACATTTTTTTACATTTGTTTTTCCTACATTGTTAACCTAAGCCATAATCTCGTTTTACCAAGTGTTGTATTTTTCAGTGTGTACTCCCAGAACTCTCTCTACATGGGCTAGTTCTGCTCCTCTCCACCCCCCTCCAAACCCTGGCCTGCAGGGAACTGTTACCGAGGAGTGTTAAAATCGACAAAGAAATGCACAGCTACAAGCATCTTTGGCATTTAATGATACTATTTGTAAGATCCCATGATACAGCAGTCAGAAGACAGAAGGACAGGAGATGGTGGTGATTCTTACTGAACTAGTTTACAAACTGCACTAGACACTTCCTGATGGAAGCAGATCATGACACTTGAACAAATGAAGCTTTAGAGCTACTTCATCAGTGAATTGAGCCAACATGAGCCACAAATCAATCTCAATGAGACACCATTTTACCAAACTTCCATTAAACATCATGATGTAAACATGGCAAAACAATGTTAGGTCACATCACACCGGGATGATTTATTGTTCTCTGTAATGCCATTTGGTAGAATATCTTGAATCCCCGTCTGATGGGATGGGGTATAGTACTGCTTTAACATTCCATGTTGTCCTTTGCACAGGTCAAACAGTCTGGCCGTGGCTCCCAAGAATCAGTGGAAACAGGCCCAGCAAGAGACCTACCAGACCCAGCAGAAATATGCAAGAACTCAGGGGGAAAAAAGGCAGGAAACAATCATGATATTTGACTTGAGGACATCCATACAATTCTGGGGACGCAAGTATGGGAAAACATTACTTGCCAAAGCACAACGGGGCTCAGGCATGAGTGTCAACTCCGAATAGGGAATTTCTCCACAGTTACCTGCAGCCAAGAGTACTGTGTCCAATGATTCTTTGCAATTCTTTGGTTAGTGTAGGAGCTAGTGACAATATGAATTTTTATTCAAAGGTACTCTTTACTCTCACTGAAGGAAGTTAAAAGTTAAATCTTTCATTACTACAATAAAAGGGACAATTTTTGCTTATCATTTCTATGCAAAATACATTATCTGATATTAAAACAGAAAGGAATGAATAAATATAAAGGAGGAAATTATTATACAATACAATTTGTATGTCTTAGGGTTCAGTTGAAAGTTATTGTGCTTGAAATATCAATAGCATAAATGCAGGACAAGTGAATGTTTGTTCTTTTTCATTTGGGGCAAACTGTTTCTCTTTCGAACTGACAATAATTAGAGTAAATGAACAGGAACATAGGATTTATCCTATCAGATCAAACTCATGGTCTGTGCATCTTTCATCTAGCATTGGTTTCAGAAGAATAGGGAAAAACAGCCCTCTAATGCATGTGGGATACCTATGCAATGCTAAGGAAAACACTGCAGAAATGGACATAGGTTGAAAATTCCTTCCTAGCTCCTAGTAAACAGTCTTTTAGTTAATATTTTATCCCTTAAAGTTACAAAAAAGTATTAAAATGTCTCAACCCTGACTGCACTCTATCTTAGCCTCATTTCCACGTGCCCCCGAATATTACCAGAAGACTACAGTAATTGTGGGCATGCGTGTCAGTATCAAGTTTCAGCTGTGATAGAAGGGATCGGATCTCTTACCTTCAGACAGGGACAAGTCATCAGCTGGAGACACCAGGTCTGCTTGGATAGCAAGGCCATTGCTCAACCGTGTGGTAATCTGATTAGTCAAGATAACCTGTAAACAGATAGGGAGAAGGGAGAAAAACGAATTATTATAGCTACCGGAAGGCAGATATCAGCCTAGACGAGGACTGGGACGTATGCAGGCAGATCACGGCCTCCCCTCCAATGCCCCCCCCCCAAACCTTCAGCAAGTTCACCTCTCCTGGAAAATTTGGCACAACCTGCAATAATTTGTCAAAGGGATATTATAAAAAGCAGAACAAATGGACTACTGCCTTTCAGAGATAGTTGCGGCTAAACACTACACAACATACATATCTATAAGGAACTAGTAATCTGGGGAACCTGTTTTTTGGGTACTCAATTGAACATGCTTTAAAGAGAGGCCTGGTTTTCATATGGCACTTCAGTGTAGCATGCAGCAATCTTCCCAAGCTGAAGGAAACCACATTTGTCTATATAGGTATGGCTTCATTTAAAAAGTTAATTTGAAGCAAGGAAGAAAATATGGTAGATAAGCCAGTGTGGGAAGCACCCATGCAATAGAAGTTGCTTTACTTATGAAAGGGCAGGTACACAGGTCAGTTTGTCTCCTAAGCATTATCTTGCGGATAGAAATAAATCATCCATATTCTCTGTCCCCAACATACGTTTTAAAAGTTTCTCATCCTCACATCTGCTCCTGATTCTTCATGAAACAATACATTATTATCCCTACACAGATGAGGCATCCTGCTGTGAAGATGTGAGAGAGAGTAGATAAGGCTGTAAAGAACTGTAGTTTTTTAGGAGAATCTTTCCACACACATTTTAGGAAAGACAGGAACTAACTAGGCAAGTGATATTATATGAATTATCCGTATACATTTATTTGCAGAGGACTATGAGATCCATTTCAATCAAAATTTAAAAGCTTGAAACAAACTTAATTTTTTAGAATTGTAAGGACACGTGGATAATTCATTCACCTAAAGAATTTAGCTGTGGGTTCTGCTAGTTTTCCTACCCAGAGGAGCAAACACCCCTTCCCCTACCTATCCCCAAGCTCTCTTCTTCCCTTGGCTTCTCTTGGGAGCAAGGCCTCTACTGCTGCAATTAAACCTGGGCCTAAACCTGCCCCCTCAGCCAATTGGGGGTGGGGAGGAGGGAGTGTCATGATCTGGATCCGAAAATGGCAGCCCTCACCATGGTCAGGCCATCATATTAGCAAGCTGGACCCACAATTTAAACCAGGCCCTAGTTATGACAGTACTTTTCCACTGAACAAAGCAAGCAGCACTGCAAATCTCATAAGATGGCCAGATCTCATGAGTCTTTTTTGGTCATATTTTGCAGATTCAAGAGGATCGGATAACAACAAAAACTTAGGATAAATCTAATGCTATACAAATATTTATTTCTTCCATTAAAGGGATGAACCATTAGACACTCCTTATACCTCCAAACATCAAAGGGTTTTTCTTTTCCTATTCAGAGACAGAAAGCACCAACTAGTACAAATGCCACCAACTCGCCAGAGTGAGTAGGCAAGTGTAGCTCAATTATAGCTTAATCACGTGTTGTATGAAAGTACAAGTCTCCAAAATGCCAATTATTGGCTTCCACCCTTGGATGTTAAAAATAAAGCTATTAGGCATATGTCTTAGACTTAGAGTATATTTATACTGCTCACTTATGATGCCAGGCAGCACTGTACTAAGACAAATTTTGCTAGGCTTGCACATGCTGCCTTTCATATCAGAGGCAATGTAACAACCACCTTAGTGCTGAGAGGTAGAACTTATTAGCATGTAAGCAGCACTGCAATGAGGCAGCTACACAACTTTCAGTTCAAGAGATACCACGTATGGATTGAGCAGAATACATCTCAATAAGGTACTGCCTGGCACCATAATTGAGCATCATCAACAATTACTGAAGGTCCAAAACTTCTCATGCATGCACATGAAAATAAGTCTATTCAGTAGACATTACCACTGAAGTTACCATGTGTCAGCTGCACCTGCAGAAAGGCACAAAGACAGCTTAATAGCTTTTCTAAGTTGTATCCTGCAATCATAGCTCCAATGTCACTATTCTGGCAGCTGCGCATGACAGTGCAATAGCACTGAGGTCCCAACACTGACATGCTCACCTTGCCAAGCGCTGAGTGGTAGGCTGACATAGAGCTGGCTCCTTACAGTGACAGAAATCCCAGATAACCAGTTATGCTAGCATTCTGGCTGCCTTGTACCACCAGAAAGGCATAAAGCAGAATGGTGAAGAGGAAGCTAAGGATCTTCTTTAATGGGGCTATTCATCTAGGGGTCTGTGTGTGTCTGATTCATCCAAGTTATGGGGGAGGGAGGTGTGTATGCGTGCACGCACACATGTATGCATGCGCGTGCAAGACTGGTCCCTAGAGTTACCAATAAAAGTTTATTATAAAAGGGAAAGCTCAGTTTGCAGGTTATCAGGTTACAGCACGATAGACCGCTGCCACTGCCACCATAAAGACCTAGGCATAGACCTTGTTAAAAGACCTACTGCTTTAATACCTTTATTTTATACTGGATAAGAGTTACAAACCTGGGAACTGGAGTTCTGTGACTCCAACAGGGCAAACCTGTATTCAAACTATAAAAGATAGACACCCAAGGCATACATGCCTGATAGAAGAGTACTGAAAAGTAAAGAGAGGCTGATATCAAGAGAGGGAAAGCATGGACTTCAGAATAACATTACACAGTTTGAAAGGGAAACTGCCATGATTATTTGTAATACCTTAGATTAAATAAATATTTACTATACATACAGTATATATGCAAGGTGGTGCGGTATGAAGTTTTTATTGGCATGAGTTTGCAATGACCACATTACTCACAAGTGTCAAAAGTACCCATGAGCAATGCAGTCATCTCAAACTTGTGCCAAGATAAACTTTATACTGTGCCATCATGTATTTTGTTTATGTAAGGTATTTTAGAGAAAAGCTACTGTATATAAGGGTTATTTAAAACTAAACTAAAAGAACTATTTTTCATATCCCTCTCCTTCAAAGAAAACAGACCCTCCAGGCTCTAAATGGAGAGAAAACAGAGAAATTACAACAATGTAACTGGACCTGTACCTGCCAGGTTATTTAGTTTTTCCCTTAAACAAGGAATTTTGTGGCATTGTGTTGGATAGTGGATTATAATAATTTATATGAATGATTATATGATTATTATATATTATATTATATCATTATAATCATTATCCTGACTCCAGCAATGCCTCTCTCTGACTCTGTTGCCTGCAACAATAGAGCTCAGTTTCTGCAAACCCCACCAGGGATCATACTCCATTAACAGTATCCCAGACATCTTGTTCTACTCTGTATACTGCCTGCAAAAAGGCACGTTCTTACACAGCAAATCTGCTGTAGTTCTTATTCAGGACAACATCTAATTGCGTTTAAGTTCCATGACTTCATAGGGGCAGTTAAACCCACACTTAAGTACTGTTCTGAATAGTTCAGAATGTTTCTTTCTCAGAAAAAGTAAAATGACACTATTCTTTATTCCTGTTAACACTATAGAGCTGAAAGTGAGATTCAATTCTAGTTTAAGCATGAATCTACAGATTGTTAAATAAGTACAAAATAGATCAATACAAAACACAGTGCCAAAATCTGTCTCAGTTATATTGTTCAAGCACACTTTCAGCAGATTTTGCCCTCATTACAGCTGTATACTCCCACTGTTATCAACTGATAGCACAATTTTGGGTCCCCAGCTTCACACATTTTGCACCTGATTTTCAAGGCTGTTGAGTAACCTCAGCTTTCAATGGCTTAAACTAGAATTGTGAGTAATTGGCAAAAGATGGAAAGCAGGCCCTATGCATCTCAAACTGGGCAGGAACAAACCGAAGCACCCAGAATTAAGTGATACATTTGAAAATACAGCTCTTCAAATATAGGTTCATAAGTTTAATATAAAATTCCAAACAACATACTTGTATATAAGCTACCACTCAAAATATTTAAGGTTATTTTATATTTCTAAACCCGTATTTTCTAAAAGCAGAATGTCCCATTTGTAAGAGCAGCACCCACAAAAAGATTCACATCTCCAGTATTACTCATCACATAGATACATCCAAGTCGACAGCCCAAATACCATCCCCACTTGACTGCGATACCAGCAACCACAGTGGGTATTAACATTTCTTAAGTATCTTCTTCACCAAGCTATAAAAAGATACTTCCCACCCACCTCCTGATCCAGATCTGTGGCTCACAAGCACCTGCAAAGACTCATAAGTGTGTGAGGGCGGGTCATCAAAGTCTGAAGGAAGTGGGAGATTCAGGCAGACAGTCAGAGTGGCCAAGCATGTCTTGGTAGTTTTCTGGTGGGTGTCACACTTATATGGCAAGGGGAACCTAACTGGGTCACTTTATAGAGTGCTCCACAAAACTTGCATGCTGGCCCTCATTTTAAGATCCAATTTCTCTCACATCCCCAGGGCTATAAACAAGGGCTGTAGAATAAAAAGCTGGAAAGATCAGGATATCTATCTTACATGTCTCTCCTGGAAGAGGGCACCTCCAGCTGCTATGCAGTGTTTCCTAACAGGCTGGCACATCAATTCAGTGCTGCTTTAGTGGGGAGAGTGCCCTGTATTGAACCACTGGTACCAGTTCACAAAGGAGATCTGCCATTCCAGTACTGATCAAGCTGGACCTATTTAGTTCACGAGAAAAGACTGCAAGCCCAGGTGAATAAAAGAAAAGTCCCTTTTGTAGTGGGCTCCTAACAAATAATGAGCTTCAGTACCAGTAGTCCTGGCTTCATCTTAAAGGTACAACTTGAATCATTAGTCTATTATTCTCCCACAGAGCTCTCAATACGGAGGATTTTGTTGTGTAATATCTTAATGCATAAGAACTCCCATTGTACGGTATCAATTAACCCAACAAAACTCCCTCTCATTCTGATTAGAAAAATCACCAGAGTTCAAGGAAACAGGAAACAAACACCTTTCTTCTCCATCCCCAGTTGAGCCCAAACATGTGAGACAGGTGGTAGA